TAAGTAGTATATGAAAGACTGGACAAAATTTCCCTGGAAGCACACTGCCAGGTTCGCGGTCAGGCATGATTATCCGGTAGTGTTTTGTCTTTTCATTCCTATGCATGTACCCAGGAAATATTCAATAAAAATGCCTTAGTCGCGTTTGTTGCGGTTAGTAGCATCTAATCCACATGCAAATCATCGAATCATAGCATTGATGCTTCATTGGACTGGCTCTGAAAGAGCTGTCCAAACAAATTTACCCGGTGTTGCAAATGGGGCTATGTGACGAAACTACATTTCCTGGGTACAAGTTTATAACTGGAAAGACTACCGGATACTCATACCCGACAAGTGGCAAGGACCGCGACACCGGTAGTGCGCTTCAAGGTAAATTTTGTCCAGTCGTTCATATATTCTTGTAATAAATATACATATATATTTATATGCAGTTGCGAATGGCAAGTATGCTTTTGTCCAGCCAATTCAATGAAGTAATGCACCGTAAGAACCCTTTCATTTTGTTTCGTTTTACCCAGCACGTCCTGGACTACTGTCTCCTACTCGGACTGATTGTCACACACTCAGACTATCTAGCAAGTGGTGCATACAAGGCGTCTGAACTGATCCACGCATTGGACACGTTACTCAGAAACGTATCCCCAGACTCCCCGCTCTCATCATTCGCACAACGTGGTCTGATCTTGGCTCAAGATACTCTTTCTCGTCTGCGCAAAGCAGTTTGTCGCTGAGGTTTGGGAGCATCACAACAGTGCTCCGTGGATCGTCCGTGCGATCGCATGGCAACAACCCCTATGCATTCATTAGGTCAAAAAACTCCGTGGTTCGTCCCCTTTATTCAGCGTTCATCCCTTTACGCGAATACTCCGACTGGATTTTTTGGAAGCAGCCCAAGCCGGAGCACTGTCATCATTCCTCATCCGATTTTCCTTTCACGTCCCTGATTATAGTTCAAAGTTTCCCCCATTTGTTATTCATATATTTATTTTCTATTCGCCACCCCGAAGCCAGTCTCGATCATTTGCGGGATAGTTGACAAGAAAAAAACTGGGGAAATATTGCATTCGCACACAATCCTTATTCTGTTTTACAAACGGTCAAACCGTTTTCAATTTTCCATTGTTTTTTTTAGCGGAACTGTTTAATTTTTGAGGGCACATTTTGAGTACGGAATCCGTATCTCATGTTAAAATGTGAAGTACTGATTGTCATGGCATTAGAATCATTGACATTACCTTTTTCGAGTAATTTCTTTCTGATGAAAAGATATCCATTGAAATTCCTGTCTTCGATATTGCCGTCTCCCTCGATGAGGAGGAATCGACTGATACACTCACTAAGACTGGATTCCTTGTACTAAAATTAAGCGGCTTTGTTTTCACACAATTTGACTGATCGGTGAATCGGGGGGGGGGGGGGCAGGAAACCCACCGTACGACACATGGAAGCAGATAGCTGATAAATACTACTGCCAATCTGACACTTGGAATAGCGGGAACTAACAAGTACAGATTTGAGTGGTAATGATCAAGCGGTTTAAGCCGTTATCACCGGCATCCTTTCTGTCCTAGGATCCGAGGTTTGAGCCCCACCGTTGTCACCCGACTTCCTTAGTAGACAGCTTCCCCGTTGTACGTCTCCATGTCCCGCGTAAATTGGGGATTCGCCACTCGAAATTCCGAAACATACTTTTCCTGTTTTACCGGTCAAACTCCCCCCACCCTCGCTACATTGACGTGAGAGATCGGTACCTGGGGCTTCCTCTCGACGGTGTGAGAAGTCTTCGCACCGTATTGAACAGTTACCGGCCGCCTAAGCTGAGCAGCCCCCAGCCAATAAGGTGTTGTCTCGTCCACGTTCAGCTTGTCTCATTGGGTGCATGAGGCAAGAGTTTGATCCTACAACACATTGAGCCGGAACCCAAGACTTTGCATGGCTGATCTCTAGGAGCTACTTCACGGGTGCTTCGTTCGCACTCCCGCCCTACTGTCTGTTTACACCACTCATGGGATATCACTTAGCGTTAAACTAGTGAGGTTAACAAACCAGAAGCTATCAGGTTGTTGAAACCAAAATATCTTTTTCACTTTGCCGCATTTCATGTTCGCACGCTCTTTTAGATCGCCCAAAAAGCTATCCTAGCTAGGATCCTGTAACTTTCAGTTTGGAGGTATGCTGTGTCTCCGTAACGTGTATACAAGATACTAATTCAATCATCACTTTGTGATTGCTACCTCCAACCTCATCCGCACACTTCACTCTCTGTGTGTCAAGTGATTCGGCATCCGAAACCCGCAACGTTGATGGTGTCGGGATTGCGCTAAGTGTCAAGGACGAGGGTCCATTTCTTGACTGGATCCGATTTAGCAGCGGACAATATGCTGTACGTTTCGACGGCTCAGTGCGGATCAACCGCTAGGGAATAAAGCGCCGATGCTTATTCGCCGTGTCTACAGTGCACCGGCTGATTTGAGTTCACTCGAAGTGAAGGATGAGTTCTAAAAGGAACTCAAATGATCCAAAGTGGCTGAAGACTGATGCTCAGGTGGAATCCCTGGACGAATCAGAAAGGCTTTTTT